AAGCTGTGGCATTTCTCTCGGAGGCGGAGTGTCTGGAGTGATGCACTGTTGGAAAAGTGAATACAAGGGTCAATACAAGGCAGCAAATACAAGGGGTTCTGCATGATGCCGGTTCTAAGTCATAGAGTAGTTAGGGTTGGAAAGGACCTTAAGATCATCTAGTGCAGGATCTAGATGTTACATCAAGGGAAATTCAGCCAGGAAGGCTCTTGCTGGAGAAAGTTAACGTGTCAGTGAGTTAGTATCGGAGAAGCCTCACTAACTTCATGGCCATTTGTGCAGTGGCCTCTCAGAGGAAGAAGGCTATCAATGACCTCTGCTAACTTCTAGCAGCTTCTCTTGGTCAAAAAGTACGTTGAAGGCTTTGTGTTGGGACCTGGTGGATACTAATGGATAGCAGAGGAAGCACGAGTTCTCTCTTCAAAGATTTCAACTGGACCTGTGCGCATACGTAATCCCCTCCCTGACCTCTGTCCAAAGATATTCTTGTTAGAGCCAAGTGGGGGAAGATAAATCCATTTTGTTATAACCCCTGAACTTTCCTATTTAATTTTCCTCCCACAGCAGAAGCAAAATCTTTCTCCAAAAGGGAATGACATCAATCCACCTGCTTTGGGATTACAAGAGATTTCCTTCAGGTCTAGCCTTCCTCTTCTCCTCTAATGCAGGTCCACCAGCTTGCTTGGAAATAGCAAACAACTTCTGCTTGACAAAAACCAGCACATCACTGCAAGAGAATTCACTTTCAAACTTCCATTGAGCCAAAAACGTTCTGCTCAGCTGCAATTCACACTCCCCTGGTTTCATTCTCCTTTTGTGCATTACTGCTGCCCAGTGCATTGCATAAACTCAGAAGCTAATTCTAAGCAGATGGACCTGATTTTAGTTGCTTTTTTTTTTGCCAACCCCTCCATTTCTGTGCCAGCAAGAAATCCAGCCACACTGGGAAACATCCTCTTTTTACTTCTATACAAGGCAAACCAAAGCGTTTCTGCTGTAGCGTTAGCTTTTTGGCTTCTGATGCTTTCAACCAACAGCCACAGCTCTCACTTTAGGTCAGTGTTCAAATGGTTCCCAAGCTTTTATGCCTTTTCTCATTGAGCAAACAGTGGATTCATATTTCCATGCTTTCCCTGTTTCCCTGAGAGTAAAACTTTCCCTGTTTACTGGCACTCAATATGCCTGTAGTATTGAGCTCTTAAGGGCAGACCAGCCTGTACTGGTCATCTGGAAATACCTAATACACTGAGCTGTGAGGCTGAAGTGTGAACAGCAGCCCAGATCCAAACATTTGTGTTGGAAAGGAGGGTTTCGATGGGAATTGCCAGGTTTGACACATTAAAATAACAATGCTAGCAAAAGCAATATAATATAATTAAAAAACGGTCATTTCAAACTACTTGGCTGCAGAATGTATTTAAAGTAGCAGAGAAGTTACCATGGTTAAAATAAAAAGGAAAGTATAGCATAAGGAAAGGAATTGTTTCAGCTTTTGCCAGGTGGTTATTTCCTTCCATGATCAATTCCCCAAAACTCTTGAAATTTAGGCTCTTTGGCCACCTGGATCTGGGATTTCAGTAGATCTCTATGGCCTATGAGATGTGCAAGTATCACACACTGAGACAACAACAGGTATCTCTTACTATTCCCTCCTTGCAAGCCGGAAGAGGAAACCTACACTTGGTACCAAAGCATTGCATCCTTGATACCACCCCTTCTCTCTTTCTCCTTGATACAGTCCAGTGCATTGAGGGCATGTCTGCTGTGTCGTTGTTTCAGTTAAAATAGTAAAAACACATTTCTAGCTATGGTGTGAACACAGAAATTGGCTCCTTTAGCCCAGCAAAGTGCATCTTGTTCACTGATCTGTGACTATTTGTGCCCAACACCAGGAGAGGAGTTAACTTCATCTCATCCTTACTGGGAACTCATTGCTTTTATATTTATACTCAAATAGTCCTGATGATTCATTGCTCTCCTTTGCAGGAATGATAGAGTATTTGGGATTAAAATCTCAGAAGCCACTGGTTTTAAAGCAGGGGTCCAACTTAAGGGGTTAAAAGATACAGGGAACTGATGCTGCAATATATAGCCATTCATAGATGCCTTAATTCTAGCTCATGTTTCAAAAGAGTAAAAGTCACATCCATCATTCAGCTATCTTGTGTCTTACAGGGAAGTAACATATGTTATCTAAACACTTGCCATACTGGAATATTAAGCAGTATATTAGAATATTAAGCAAAACAGCCCCAGTGAAATGGGAAAGTGTGATTTTACTGAGGGGGAACCTGAGACAGAGATTAAATATTGTCTTCTGGGAGCATAGGATTGATCGCAGACATTCCAAATAACCTTCTGCTCTACCCCCGTGGCTTTCTCTTTCTTGTTGGTGCCACATGTCTGCAGCCAGCTATAAAACTGCTGCTGCTTTGGGTACTTGGCAAGACTTACAGCAGCTGGTCCATGCAGACTAATGACCCTGTCACAATCAAACACAGTGCCTTTAAATTCAGTGCTGAGGAACGCTGGCAAGGTATAAGGGACATTTGCTGCTAGACTTACTCTTTGGATATATACGTGTATTTATTTCTCCCCATATGCTACAACACATTTCACACACATGACATTTATTAGAGATCCAAATTTAGGAAAAGAGGTATAGCAGTATGGGAAGAAAAGGATTTCTGGTTTAGGTACAGGGATGGGGAGAGCAAAGCTCTCTATTTTGAGTAAGGTCCCTACTTCGGTTGTAAAATGGAGATAAAATTATCTTTCTTTAGGGCTATTCCTAAACTAGACTAAGTGTCTGTGTGACATTATCATAACAAAGCTGACAATATAGTACTCAGGACTTTATTTTTAACATCCATCTTGTTATTGGCTCCTTCATCCTCACATCCCAGCAGCTGCTTTTATGGCTCTTCTGCCACAAAGGAGCAGTTGCTGCCTGGATCTGAAGGTCTGTGCTCAGGAGGTGTGAGGCAGGTTGTGTCTGTGAGCATTCACTCACTCAGGCTGAGGATCTGAAATCCCTGTGGTGCAAAGAGCAGGAGCAAGGAATGAAGTGACTGTAGTTCTGAAATATCTATAGTTTTAGCAAGCTGACTTGTTATATATAACATGGAGTAGTGTGCATCTTTGCTTTAAACAAAGTTATGCTCTTGCATTTAGCTGATAGGCAATTCCAAGGCTTTAACATTATAAAAGCTGGTCAGTTGTGGTTAGCTAAAATTTCACTGTAAATCCATTAGGAAAAGAACAAAACAGAGAAGGAGAAACAATATATATAGAATCATAGAAAGATCTGGGTTGAAAGGGACCTTAAAGCTCATCCAGTTCTGACCTTCCAGGGATACCTTCCACTAGACCAGGTTGCTCCAAGCCCTTTCCAGCCTGGCCTTGAACACATTTCCAGTTTGTTAAAGGAGGGCTGAATACCAGTGCAAGCTCTCCCAGGTTTCAGATTCACTCTAGTTTTTATTGTTTGATACAAATGAGAAGTCTGTCTTAGAAAACCCCAAAGCTCCTGATGGTTCCTGAATTCTCCGGTACAGTATTTGTGTGCCCAGATGACTAGTGCTTGGCTGTGGGCAGCAGGGAGATGTCTGACTCCACACACATTCCCAGCTGGCTGGAAATGGCAGCCTGAAATTGCTGCCTAAGGAAAACCAGTTCTTTTGTCCATCATCAAAAAGATTACAGCTGCTGGCTTGCTCACAAAAGCACAGATGGACACCACCACCACCATCTCCAGCTCTGCAGCATTATTCTTCCAGTTTATTCTCTATTTTGCTGATGTTTGTAAAGATGCAGGGATTCAGCAACTTCCAACGGGGGACAGTCTCACCATCTGAAATAGGACATTTCATTCTCACCTAACACATCAGCCATCCTGGGCATGCAGCCTGCCACAGCAAGGTAGCACATCTGACTACAGATCTCTCTCATAAGAAGTCAGCCTCCTTTTGTGGTGATCTAGAAGATTCCATTTCATCTGTAGGAATGCTCCTTGCCTGCTTTGAAACAGTGTTTGGATATTGCAGCAAATATCTCTTGAGATGAAAAACACTGCTAAGCAAAATTATTAACACTCTGCAGTCAAACGAGGGCTAGATCCATCCATTTCCTTTGAATTCCTCTGGTTTTGTAATGCAGGTTTCACTGTAGGAAACGGACTAAACAATGTCCGTGGGGCACATGAGAGAGAAAAGTAATGTGTCCATTTTCCGTTTTCATGAATTCATCGCTACTCTAAAGATGCTCTAGGGGCACTGGTCTATTTGGAGTGATGGTTTTGCTGGTTAGCAGCCAGGCACAGCAGTGAACTGGGACCAGCTTGGTTTACCAGAAAAGCAGTGTGTTATGGTTGCCCCAGTTTTCTTGTTCTGCATTCAGAGGTATTCCTGTCATTGACTCATCTGGCTCAGAATATGGCCATGACTCAAAACATCAAGGTCAGGAAAGCACATGATCATGATGCTTATCAAGACCTCCTGCCTGCACTGAATTTGCCAGAAACCCCATAAAGAAGCGGTGAGATAGCTTGTGAAATGACAAGAGTGATTTCTACTTGCTCAGGACTGGCTCACACACTGCGACTGATGCCTCGAAACCAAACTGGGGCTCTGTTGACAGGCATGGTGAGAGTGGATAGTCAAAGCAAAATGCAGTCAACTGTAGTTATCTATATTTAGACCTTAGGGAAAATAACTGGTTATAGTTTAACTGAGACATATGTCACTGTCCTGACTATCATTTACTCTGAGGATTCCCACCTTGGACGGAGCAGGGAGTGGTTCAGGTTTTGTTGATGTGAGACAGTGGGAAAGGATAACAGGGCACAAGGTAAGTGAGGATCATCCAGTTGGCGACTGGAAGAATTTTGGAATGCCTGTGGTTTAACCCAGGGTGAATTCAATTTCTGACTATTCTTCAAAAGCAAAGCTCATTGCCGTGCAGAAGCAGAGCTCACAATTCCCAAGCAGACCCGCAGCAGTGACTGCTGACCACCTCTGCCTCCAGCCACATCCCTCCAGCCTACCTCAAGACTGAGAACCTTTGTTTTGTGAGAAAATGTCAAAATCCAGGCAGCCTTGAGAATCCTGGAGGGGGAGAGGATCAGGCTTGGTGGCAAAGTAAGGAACGAGTAACAAAACCTAGCCATGGATTTCTAAAGTAACACAACTCATCACTTGCTTCTCTGACTCGGATTCATGGGTTTAGACATTGCTGTTAAGGGGAACAGAGTTGTGGAAATCTAAAGCTTTTCCTGCCTGCAGTATGATTTGCAGCAAAATATATGGTAGGTACATTGAAGCTAAGGATCCTGCCTTGAGTTAACTTGTTGGCAAAGGACACAAATGCGGCTTCAGCAAGAGCTGACTTCTCTGCAAACTAAATTGGCTAATGTATGAACCTGCCACTCAGTTAAAGTGTTCCTGTCATCCCCCAGAATGCTAGCAATAAAAGGATATTGGATTGTGCTGCTAGACTGGGGTCCAGAAAAAAGCTTCATATTCTGAGTAATATTTATCTGAGCTCTCAAGGGAAGGTTTGGCTGGGTCATGTCTCAGATCTTTAAATCTTCCTGGCATTGACCTGATTTTGCCTTTGCTTTCTTGGTGCTCTGATGTACTGCATGTGCATGGTGCTGTAGTATCAGTCCTAAACCTCTGTCTAAGGGAGTCTTTACTGTATCAAAACCCTTTCATGCAGTTTTCCCAGGCAGAAGGAAGACTTTCCTATCTGAGCTCCAGATCTGGGAAATGGCCATTCAGTAACACAGAGCCTGAGGTATAGTAATGCAATCATGCTGCAATAGCATGAATTGTCAATTTAAAGAGAGGAAAGATGTGCTGAATTATTAATGTTGATTGACAATGGATAAAAATACCTTGAGAAAGGGGGAAAGCGTTTAATTGTTCGTGTAATGCATGTAAATGTGCTTATGACATCAGAAATCTGATGAGGGAGAAACCATACATGAAATCTGTACACATCTTGATGTTATATCCTCCCTGATCCACTTAAAAATAGACTGGACAGGGTACATCAGAAGGCAGAGAACAACACCCTCTAAATTTCTCCATTACTGATTTCTTGCATGCTCTGAAATGCGTTAACCCATCAACCAGGGAAGGGACTTGAACTGAAAACAAACCCAGTCATTTCTCTATTTTCCTTAATAGGATTTCTGGAACAGGAATCTTTGACGGGGGCAGGGGTTAGGAACCTGCTCCTATGTAATTCAGTTGCAAAACAACCCTTTTTTCAGGTCTGAAGGGACGTTCCTTTTGAATTACCTCATGGTAAACAGCAGCAAGATCCTTAGCCCATTCCTGCCCTCAGCATCCCTCCCCATCCTATTCTGTTGTGATCTGATTCCAGATCCCTGTTTGCTGGTGGTGCCTGTCTTTGCATCCGAATTGTTACACTGCCAAACTCTGTGCTACCCCTGTATGTCCTGTACCCACAGATACTTTTAGTCTGGTCTTTCTTTAGCCCATTGCATAGCTAAGTGAAAAATGCAGCTCTGAGGTAGGGAATGAGTTCTGTGGTGCACATGATTATAATTACAGGAGCTTTTTCTTTCCCAAGGTGCCAGGTATCAGCAGTCTGTTCATATTCAGGTTCTGATTAGCAGTACAGCTTAGAAGAGGTCTTAAAATGGCTGTGTGGTGATTTCAGCCTATCTATATGTTTAAGATTGAATCAGACTCCCAGGAGGTGCAAGAGGGACAAATTGGCTCATGTTTCTAATAACTTCTAATAACTTCTTCATTTGTAAAAGCAAAGGGAATTGTGTTTTTTTAGGGTCTTGCCATCAATACATATTGATCACTTAACAAAGCCAGTCTTTGAGCTATGAAAGGCCTTTGATTAAAATTTCACTTGGCAGCCTCGTGGATTAGACATCTTCATGAACACTGGAACCCCCTGATATGAAAAAGGAAAGGAAATGAGGAGGCAGTAACCTAAGGTGTAAGAAGTGGAAAACTACATATTAAATGCCAGACACGTACTCTTAGATACTACTGTGTCACTTCAGATATTGTACAGTCAATTAGGTTCATAGGGATGGATGTAATCACTGCAGGAAAAAATCTCAGGGGCTAAAAATACTCTGTTTAAAGCATTCAGACCAGTACTTGTAAATCTCACTGTGTTTGTTAAGAAGCTGTAGGTTTTCTGCTACATTCTTGTGGTAATTGGAATTCTCTCTGCCTTAGAAAACTGAGTTTGTTTTGAATGGGAAGCAAACTTTCTGCTACAAAATCTGTTCTGGTATAGCTGAAGTTTCACCTTTCTCTTTGTTTTTACCAGAAAACTCCATACCACATAGGGAGATAGCTGATATTACAAATAAATGCTACTGTGGATGAGTCAGCTGCTGAGGAGGGGAGCACTGTTCAAGTAACTGTCTGTGGAAAGAAAGAAAAACTCTTTTGAGATTCACCAGAAAGGAAGAAAGCAGCACTTTATTTAGCTGTAAAGCAGCAGTTGTGATCAGAGGTGACAGAGGAAGGTTTTCTTGATGCAAGTGATCCATTCTGGCACTTGGAGGCTGCTAAGAATATCTAGGTGGGTGATCTAACCCTTTCTTATGTGGTTATTTAAGATGTTTCAGCAAGGAAGTCTTTAGGGGACACCACAGTTAATGCCACGTTGAGCTGTATAATGAATCTGATCAAGTGTGTTTCTCCAAAACATCATCCATTTTTTAGTTAGTGATAAACAGTTGTGACCACAGTCATTCAGAGACAATGAAGTGGTAAAACCAGATCTTCTCCCATATCCCTCAGTAACGGGACTTCTTTGGGGGCCTCCATTATCAAAGCACTAGAGGCCTGAAAATTACTCAGGAGAAATGTGATCTTCTCTCACAACAGAATGAAGCTGGTGTAGAGGAGGACATGAAAGAAAGCAGAAATGACAGAATGTACTTAAAGTTATTAACAGGCTATAAATGATTTGGTTTCGTGTGCTGCTTCCAAGTGCGAACACACTAAGTCAGCAAATCCACCAGAAAAGGGTTGCTTCAACAAAAGGTAATAATTGCCACTTGCTACTCTGTCCTAAGTGAGCAAATTAGAATATTCATCTAAGTCATTGCACCTATCTCTGCATGCACATGCTTATATCTGACCTAATTACTTTGCTAGCCTTTATAATCAATAGATACACACATACACACGGATAAAATCTGAAGAATTCTGATTTTTATCAAGAAATGGAAGGTCCTACTTATATTATCTTTCCTACTCTGTGAGGAGGTAATTGAGCAAAACCAACCATTTCCTGACTGGGGGGATCTCTTATGACCTCAATTAGTGCATGGGAAGGATGGAAACATTTTTTGTTCTATTTTAACCTAATTCTCTTGCCAAACCTCTTCTTCACAGGCTGCAGATTAATTTTTCTAATGGTTATTAGATCTTTATCTGTGGGTAAGACAAATAGCACAACATCTGCAAAGGTTAATGCTAACTTGACCAATCCTCTCCTTTAAAAGGCAAAGCTATATTTCTGTGACCTGGAGCTGCCAGTACTGCAGATGCTGTGCAGTTACAGGACACAGGCACCACCTCATGGAGATGGGATTCTGGGCAGGACAGGAGAGCATGTTGCTGCACATGGGCCAGTAGAGGTTATATATCCTGTACATATGTGCAGAATATAAGGACTTCAGCACTTTGGGGGGATCTTTCTAACCTCAGCTGTGAGTCAGAAGCTCTGTCACCCTGAACTCCCACTGCAGGCAATGGGGACACACATTCATCTCCAGGTTTGGTAGGAGTCTCTGTATGGAAGCAGCCAACTCTCCGTTGCCTGTGAAGGAAGCCTTTAGTGACAGCTTCTAGTCTGAGTGTCTTCAGTGGGTGACATGAATCTGTGATCCCACAGTTAGATCACGAGCCTCAGACTCCCCTGTTCTCTAAGTTGTTTCAATTAATCAAGGTGAATGGTTGTATGGCTGGAAGGCAGGTTGTTGTATGTGTAACTAAATCTCAAGTCACACAAAGGAGTTCATGCCCGTAAGACAGGCAGATTTAAGGCTTTTTTTTTCTGTCAGATAGGGATGAAATTAATTTCACTTATTAGCATAAACCCCAAGGCTCTGTAGATGGCTACAGTGACTGAATTTGGACTAATGTCTGAAATGCGGCCATTCCAGCCCTCTACAATCCGAGGCTGTCACAGCCACTGTGTTTTATAGCCTTGCTTCCAATCTGTTCCTCCCATGGCAAGGTCCCAATCATCCAATTATCCCAAGTGCCAATCTCTCTGAGACCCTGTGCTAATAATCCTCAGTATTAACAGAGCTAGTGGCACTAAAGTATGAGAGGATTGGTACTTCTCTACATAAAATTATCTTGATAAACTCAAGATCAAGACTGGATAATCAAAGGATTGCAGTTGCAATTGGACAACTTAGAAGTATTTATTAATGGTATATATATATTAAACTAGGCTGAATAGATTGCAGGTGGATTGTAGTCTATTTATAAAGGACAGCAGACAGTACTGTGTCCCACAGTCCTTACGAGCTAAACCCCTCTTGTGTTTTAGCACCAGAATAAATCATCCCATTTTTTGTTGCTACTACTCCTATATTCCAGCCTGAAGTAAATCTCAGTGAAGAACCTCAGTGAAGAACCTCAAGCAGCCACACTTTGTGCCTTAGATAAAGGCACAAAAGTATGCAGACACCAAAGCTAATAGGCAGGCAAGTAATAGGCAACAATTCAGATTGCTATACCTGGATTCCAGAGCTGATTGTTTGTATGCAGCCCCCAAATGTAACAGATTGAAATTAATCTATGACATTTTCCCCTTTGTTGCCTTATTAGTTTGGAAACAAAGATATTTCTGTTGAATGGCTTCTTAAAGCCCTCAACAGTTCTCCCTCTGGGCTTTAATAATTAAATCCATTCAGTGAAGTGAATTCATTGCAATGCTAAGACAAGGTGGCTTCAAAACCACTAGATTTAGTGTTGATTAGAGTATTTCCCTAGGCAGTGATAAGCAGCCATCAGCTGACTCAGTTTCTTGCTAAGTAGGATTCAAGTGTCTAATTCTCGTATCTGTGGAAAAACCCCCACATTGTTATAAAGGAAAAGGTCAAAGAATGCACAAGCTGAAATTTGCTATTTAGTTCTACCCTAAGGCAAGCTTTAAGTATAGCTGGGTCTGCAAAGTGGTTGTAGTTAAGGGTAGGGTATTTTTGACTCCCAAAGTGCCTACTCTTAGCAAAATCACTCTCACTGAGTTTTAAAGACAGAGGGATGGAGAGCCTGACAGAATTATACTCAAAAGGTTAAGCCTGTCAGAAACCAACCTGAACCACAGTGCATTAACTTTGCCCTATACTGAGGCAACTATTGGCCGCTGAAACAGAAACCTGCACATTCACTGCAGGGTGCTCCCAAATTCATGCAAAAGGCTGTGGAAGAAGAAACAAATGGGGAAGCACAAGCTGCCCAAACCTCCATTTGTTTCTCTTCCCCTTGCAATTCACAGCTTACAATGTCTTTATGAGAGCAGAGCTACAAATAAGTTGGCTGTTCATCCACCGTGAAATGATTTCTAAATTCCTATCCATTATCTGAGCAGGAAGAGGCACTGCTGTTCTTGTTTATTGTGCCTGCAAAAGAGCTTCTAGTGACACAAAGACTATTGAAGAGGATAGCTGGATGTCTTCTTGTTTTGCTAACTCTGTTGAGCTAGTTTGCCACTCAATGCCAGCTTCTTGAGAATGTTTGTTGGCCTCATCTTCTTTCAACTGATTAGTTGGATAGAATGGTCTTGACTGGAGCACCAGTTAAGAGTAGGGATTTTGTTATGACTGACGTTCAATTTGACTCTGATTCCCTAGTAAAAAGCCTTGAGATACTATAGGAACCCAGCTAGTATCTTCTTCCATGTTTTCCAGACTTTTGCTTCAATATTTTGAGACAGCAGATGCTACAATTCCTCCAGTCCCATTCTAACTCAAGCCAAAACTGGCAGATATTTGCATATTTTACTAATCTTGAGTAGTTCCAATCTACACTTCTACTAAAGAGAGCTCTTCCATTACTGATCACTGCTTATAGAAAGTACTTAGAAAGTTTTTAGCTCCTGTAGTACCATCTTTGTAACAGTGAGAATATTTACTAATCCCTGTTTGAACCATTTAACCCTATTCAGCTGTGATTTGTAACGAGAACTCACACTGTCGTTTCTCATGTGGAGGAGATCTACTCTTTATGTTGCCAACAGGTACTTTATTTCACTTTCACTGCCCCTGTCAGCAGCAGGAAGGCATTTCATATCTGTAGAAATTCCCAGGGGAAGTTAGTGACACAAACAGCGGGAGTTGGAGCAGCAGCAGGAGCAGGGGAGCAGCGTGCTCTTCCCATGTCCTGTTGGTGGTTCTGATGACAAGTCTTTGGCAGCATAGGACGCTCACTGGAGCCAAGAGAGCAGTGGGCAAATTTCACTGTTTCTGTTTCTGCGGTTTGTAGGGATTTTTTAATCGTTTCATGCTCCCTTTTCTGCTAGAGCAAAGCTGCAGTGCCTTTGTAGTCAGAACTTTCCTTGTTGGCTTTCCCGAGTCTTATATTGTTCGGCCAGATCTAAGTGCTTACAAGGATGTGATCTGTGTTATTTACCATAAAACAAGAGGAAAAGTGAACGGAATGCCCCCGTTCCCCTGGCTGTTTTGGCAGCAAGGGGACTGTAGATTAATTAGGAGTCCTGCTGGCTTCTTGACAGTAAAATCCTCAAGAATTAACTTCAGTAAATTACTGAAATGTGAAAATAATTTGGTACAATCTAGGAATGCCTTGGCATTGCTGTGTCAGATTAATAGCAATTCCTTGCACTTTCTGCTCTCTGGATGAGAGGTGCTTTATAAATAGAGGATGTTTATTTCAAGAGAGCTCAACTTGACGGGTGCAAAGCACCTGTAAGACTGTAGGACTGTAGCACTTTCCCTTCTGTGGCCAGCACGTTTTCAGATTCCCATATTCCCAATGTCACGATTATTGCCATTTCCATAACACTCAGTTGTGTTGATTCATCTGATCATACAGCCACACATTCAACCTGACTGTGAACAGCTCTGGTTTAGTCAGATCTGCTCCACGGTGGGAGCGCCAAATAGGTGGAGTGGTATTGCTGTGGGAAGAGCTTTTTCTCGCCAAGGGGAGGGGATGACAGGCAGGAGACATAGAGACCAGACCTTCACCCCAAGGAGGAGCAGCATGCAGAAACAACCAAGGGGGGCAACCTGGTGCACTGTGTGCTTAAAACCTGTTGTATGTTTAGTCCCTTAGCTGGCAACAGAAAGATGGTGGCTTTTAAAGATATAAATTAGGGATTTTGAAGAGCATCTTAGCATAAGAGATGCCTAATTCCTGTTCCTCTCAAGGCATTAAACACCCCTGATGACCTTTCTCTTTTGCAAGCCCCAGGTTCCAAATACATCCCCTATTCTATTATTCTATTTGCCTTATTAGTTTTAGTGGCTTCCCCCCCCCCCCATTTGCCTACCACCTCTGTCTCAGTCTGTGGTAGCTTTGTGTGTGCTGCTAGTAGTGTGCGCAACATGAATGCTGAAGAAAGTTAATACATTAACAACAACTGATGGAAAAATGCTGGATCACACCGGTAATAGCTTTTATTTGCTTTCCAAACATGTTTGCTCAGAAGTGTTTTGCCAAGAAAGACAGTAAAAAGGAAAAAGAGAGCATGAGCGTTAACTATAGAGTGTATTTCTAGGTTGTGCTAATATCATCATGAGGACGTGGGTCATCCAGGCAACAGAAACAATCTGAAGATCTCTGAGCTGAAGCATGTGATGTGAATAGCAAGGCCTTAAAGCAATGGCTGCAGTAACGGGTTTGTCACTGGCCTGTTGCCAGGGCTGACTTAAGGAAGGAATGGGTTGTGAAGATACCATTTCAAAGCAGCTACATTGCTAAAAATCAAAGCCTGTACATGGTCATTGGAAAAGAGGTAAGGCAGCTACATAGACCTGCTTGTTCCCCACAGGCTCACTCAGTGCTTTGAGCCTTTTCCACACTATACAGCTGGACAGAGGAAGACCATGGCAATTAGATGATTTCTCACTAAAGGGTGACAGACTCATGGGAGGGAAGCAGACACGACCTACCTAACAGCACTTCTGGTCCTAACTCGGAGCTAGTGAGTTAGTAGTAGGTTGTGAAAAAAAAATCACATCATTAAATGAAGTAAACCCTTTCAACGACAGTGATTGAGGTTCAGCCCTGACAGGAAGAAATCTCTTCTCTGCCTGCAAGGGCAATTTGTGTAATTACACATGTGTCAATGAAGAAAGGTAAAGAATAAATCAGTGTCAGAGTAGTAAAGCACAGCCCATTTCTTCCAGCAACATGAAGTATCTTATTGTATTAACATCCTTTATGCTTATTGATATCTTCTGGTTCTCAAATCTCCTGCCTTGTCCATAGGGTTGAAATTCCTGTGGTTGAGTTTGGTTTGTTTTTTAAACCCTCATTCTCCCATCTATCACAGAAGATAACTCCTCTGTCCCCTCTGAGAATATTGCTGTCTGATGCAACATTGCAGGCTCCAGGATGGGAAGATGAGAACCACTGCACCCTTAACCCTCTTCTACCAAAGCATGTGATAGCTGTCAGGTATGTCCGTGCTCATATAGCCTCTAAGTCCTTATTTCTGTAGGCAAAGAGCCAGTTGGACCCAAGATAATTGTTATTCTTAAATATAACCAGTGTGCAAGGTTTGAAGTACTTGGAATAAGCAAATACTGTAAAATGCAAGCTTATTGAGACTGCATCTTAGAGAAGGCTTTGTAAATAGCCATCTTCTGCTCACCTTCCTTTAGGTATCTGTGCCATACTGATAATGCCAAGACTGAAAAGCCCTTCTAGCTACAAACTAGGCAGGATTCATGGTTTTTTTTTCCTAAGATCTAGCAATGGATCCTGGTTTGATTTGGTGTTTCTGGATTATACTATATTGAAAATAACTGTATAACCACCATAACAATTGCAGTAGTAATGTTCCAATTGCTGTAGAGCTCTAAACGATCATCACTGCGGGGTTTTAGAGGCAGATCTGGTACAGTCAATAATGCCTTTTAAGGCATGATGTTTGATCTCAGCATATGGTAGTCAAGGGAAAGCTTTCCATCTGTTTTCATGAGGTCTGATGGAGTCACTGTCCATCACCATTTGAGCACTGCTTTTAGAAAACAGACTGAACAAACACTGCAGTTTACACCTTGTGCTTAATTCCAGTCGTGTGCAGGGTTTCACACCTAACCAGCTCTTTGCTCTTGCAGGCAAAGGTACAAAGGTATTAGCAGATTTAGGGGAAGTAAAAGAACATAAAAAGCTGAAAATGGATAGACAGTATTAAAGACTAGCATAAACGCAGGTTGGATGCCTTAACCCTTTTAACAGGGTGATTTAGCAGTAGATGTAGGACAGTGAACTTCAGTCTGTGCAAAGGATTGAGTGCCATCCAGACACAGCTGGGAATTGTCTATCATTTGCTTTGCTGTACTCTCACACAGGAGGAAAGCACAGAAATGGTAATGCCTACTTCTCACAATCCTATAGCTCCAACAGAGGAATAAACAAATAAGCCCTCTAGGAAGTAACTTGTAAGAGAATTATAAGAATGCAGTAGTGGTTTCTAGTCTAGGAAGGAGAAGAAAATATTCATGACTTCAGAGGATAATTTTATGCCTCATCACAAAAGATCACCAAGGCCATTGAGGGGGGGTGAGGGAAAAGCAGCAGGCATTTTGAGAAAGAAACGTGCTGTATTATAATAATGAGGGTTTGTTGGTTTGTTCATTGATTTTGTTCTAAATAAAACAAGCATTCAACTGAAGTTCAAAACCCAAGAAAAGGCTTATTTTCCCCCAGTAACTGACCACTGGTGCTCCTTACACCTTCCCCCATGGTACACATCCTAGCTGTTACAGGTTTGAGCAGTGTACTTGACTTCTCGTGGCAGTGTGTGAGGTCCTGCTTACTTGCTGTGTGCTAAATTAACCACCCTGCTAAAGAGCAGCAGAAGTGCTCTGTGCTTTGCTCTTCAAAGTGCATGTTTGGACTTGTCTTTACTGCTGGCTGCAGAGTCTATCCACATAAAGGGTGAATTCGACACTGAGAAGACAGCGTGCTATTCTATAGGCTATGCAGCTATGCTGCATAGTCTGTTCACATAAAGGGTGTGAAACAAATTCCTCTGGGTTTAATTCTAACATATTTGTGCCTAGAAACAGGATTTGTGCAGCTTTTCTGGGGTCTGCTTTCTGATCTGCTGCTGTGAGAGCCTGTGCACAGCCTGACCAGATGACACTTCATGCCAGAAAACAGCTCAGAAACATAAAACACCGTGTTCTCCTAGATTTTCTGATATCCTCTGAACAACTCTACCCTTAACCGGGGTGTTGAAGGCTTGTAATGAAGCAAATTCAAACAAATCTATGATTTGCTCATTTATCTCCCTCTCTGTAGCGTTCTAATAGGTGTGAAGAAGAGCTGTTGGCAGAGGTTGAAGTTTGCAAATGCTCTGATTGTCTACACATGAGGCACAGTGTGGCACTCGGGAGACTTACATAAAACTTTTCACTGGTGACACTGAGAGCATTTGACCAAAATAGTCAGTAAAACAACAGTTCAAAGGCTTGCAAGGAGCAAAGCATTGGTATTTGTACTTCAAAGTCTATCTAAATTGAGGAACAGACCTAACTCTCTTGCTGAGTGGTGCCCGTGTGTAGCGTATTTCACTCTTTTAATGTCTGCATCTCTCCTTAGCAAGTTCAGAAATGGGTGAAACAAAACTCTGTTCTGGCTGGTACACGACAGAAACCCCTCAGATCTGATGCACAAAGGTAACCTGGTCCTGCTTTACTGAACTTAGCCAAAGACTTTTGCAGCTGGTCTGGTGAAGCTTGCTAAAATAAAGCAGAAAGCTTAGGAATTGCTGGAAAGGCAGCTTAGCTTCATGAAACAAAAGCAATGCAGAGTTTAGCAGTAAAGAAGGCCATATTCTAAAGAACCTGAATTCATTTTAACATATGCAATGGCTTTCAGTGGGAGCAGAAGTTGGCTCAATATAGACTCATTTAATTAAACACTAATGATATTTTGGCAGACTCCTCCTAAGCCACAGAGGAACAGTCTATGCAATTAACTTGCAGAATCATCATTGATATTTGGCTGCTTTTGCTATATTAAATAAAATGTCTACAGAAAGCTCTAATGGATTGAGTGAGCAATTTGTGTAGAAGAGGGCCCATGATTAAGCACCACAGTGCCATGGAGAAGAAACATGACTTCACAGAAATCCGTAGCAAAACTCCCACAGACATCAGTGGGATGAGATTTCACTTTGAGTGTTTGTGAAGGTGGGAACATTTGCCTAATGCTAGCTTTGTGCCAGCATGCTATCAGCTCTATGAAAAACTGGCATCTGCTCCAGCTTGCCCAGACCTTTGGCTGAAAGCATCTGCTACCTTCTGAACTGAATTCCCAAATCCCTCCTGTCCCAGGTCTGATTGAAATTCTGTGAGTGTGTGGCTCAGAGCTTTCACTTGCAGCCTGGGGGAAAAAACAATAGGAAAACCAAAGGTGAGTACTGAATGTGAACTGATGGGAGGGGGGGCTGGCTACTCTAAGGAAGTTTTTGGTTTCCTTTGTTGAACAGCCTGCTAAAGGGTTGTTTACCAGGCTTCTTAATAACATAAACCACTTCTAGGCTTAGAACCAAACACCTACTTAGAACTAGATAATTAGGTGTGTATCTTGTGATCTACATTGTGTTCCCTGTAATGAACATACTGATGTTGTCTCATTGAACAGGTAGAGATTGACACTTTTAGTCTGGATAAAGCAGAACTCCTCACTTTACTGCCCTCAATCCAGTTAGTCCTGACAGAATGAGAACCAACACATCCTAGGCACATGTAGTAGCAGAATGTCCAGGAACATCTCACCCTGCTGTTTCCCAAAATCCAGGTTAGTCTCCTACATCAGGATGTGCATCTTTTAGAAGCACTAATCTCAGTGGGATGGATGATGCTGTTAATCTGCATTGCGAAGATAAAGACTCATTTATTTCCTGTCTCATTGGCCCTGAGGGATAATTGAGACACGGTCTTACAGTTTGGCTCTTTATAACTAACAGAGTGAAGAAATTTGTCTTTTGAATTATGCTCATCTCCAAACTATATTTTATTAACAGTATTTTATTACCCTCGCAGTGTATAACTGCAGTAGTGGGGACCGGCCAACAGTGGTGTTCACTGACTGACATGTGATTTTCTACTGTGTGATTAAATTGGACACAGTCCAATATTCCCAAGACTAGCACCTTCAAAATACTCCTGGAGTTCCTTTTAGCTAACTGGAGAGAAGAATGCCTTGAATCATGGTTATTGGTGTGCTATGTAATAAAAGCATAAAAACGCATATCAAGGGTGGTGACAGTGTCAAGCTAGTCTTGGTTACTGCAGTTATTGTTATATCTACCCCAAAATGATGAAGACTTCTAGCAAATCCTGCTGGGAAGGTAAGGATTTGCTATCTGGCATTTATATAACCAAGTCACACTCTCAGCATTTAGACCTATGTATATGCTCTCATCGTGGTGATATGTCTTCTGGTTCTAAAATGAGCAAGATCCTATTAGCGGTGGGAACTGAGTGTGATTGGCTGGAGAACTGGAGATGTTCCAGTTGTGCTAATAATACTTCTTGCTTGGAGACCATAATAAGCCAGTTCTGTTAATTTTTTGCCTGGCACATACAGTGTGTGATGTACAATAATGTCCATAAGTGGGTTTTGTGAGTGCTTAATGCACACACTTAAGTTTTGCAAAGCAGCTGTCGGAATTAACTGGATAACAACTCAGATGGTTAATCAGCATGTGAATACGTCAGGAACTGTGTCTGCAAAGAGATGTGCTATTTATAAACCCCTGGGGAGCTCTGCCACCAGATGGCCTTTTCTGAGCTGTGAGTAGTCCTTAAACCAGTTTGGTTTTGGTGTTTTACAGGATCACATAACTTTTAAATACCTTTCTGAAATGGCTCATTCTGTCTCCTAGAGATGCAGCTGAGGTGGGCATCCTCATCTCCCTAATGGGAACACCTGTTTCAGGCCATTTAAGCCTTGTTTTCCTGTGATATTAATGGTTGCAGGGGGATGGTTTTGCACGTACGACCATGTTCTTTTCATTCCTATTCTACATGGCACGTGTTGTAACCAAGTCACCTAATACGTTAAACAGGGATCAATCAAGACTAAGGAAGTTTAGATCAAACCTGCAAGTATTTAAAGATGCAGACTCTACTGCTTTTAGCAGTTAAGCTGCTACATAGGAATGAAGTTCATAGAATCCCAGAATGGTTTGGGTGGAAGGAATTTAGAGCTCATCCAGCTCCAGGGACCCCTTCCACTGGAGCAGCTTGCTCCAAGCCCCTGTGTCCAACCTGGCCTTGAGCACTGCCAGGGATGGGGCAGCCACAGCTTCTCTGGGCACCCTGTGCCAGCGCCTCAGCATCCTCACAGGGAAGAGCTTCTGCCTAAGAGCTCATCTCAGTCTCCCCTCTGTCAGATGATACAGAAATATGAACATACTCAACAGAAAACTGATTTTTCAAGTTTAGTCAAGGACTAGAGGCTCGTCTTGCATCTGTTAAATACTCAAAATACACCACAGCATCCTCTCAGTTATTTCTTTTTGCATTGAAATGATTTCAGCATCTCATATAAATATCATTAGCACTCGTAGTTCTAATTCTGGGACACTGAAGAATTTTCTTCCCTCCTTTCCTTGTTTTAATTTGTTTCCCCTTTCTCCCACTGTGACCAGGAATACAGTTTGTTTTTTTTGCATGTGGTATATACATTCCCACAAAAAGTCTGGGTTTGGAGAAGCTGACATTTTCCAAGAGAAATCCATTTCCTGAGAAAATCTCCAACCAGCCCCTTCTCTAACTGCATCCCGTTTGCCTTTTGTGGGCACAGATCCAGCAGTAATCACACAAGTATCAACAAAGCTCATTCCACAGAACTCACAAGAGACATCCTGACAGCAGAATCTGGCCCTCTGGAGGGATCTTACTGGGTTCTGGAAACATATTGCTACCAGCTCTTTTCAACTGGCATCACCTGTGTAGGTCATACACATTGCATGAAGTTCTGATTAAGCAAGTACCTCCTGCAGAGGTACCCAGAATCCAGCTTAGGCTTTGGTGGTGGCCTTCACAAGCTCTTCCAGCTCAGCCTCTCCTATAGAGAATGTTTATTATATGAATATCTACCTTATTCTGGGATGTTACAATGCTCTCCCTGTGCAGCCAGGGAGGTCCCCTTGATTTAAGTCTCCTCTTTCCCAATGGATACAGGTATAAAGAAACCACAATGGAAGCACAACATGGAAGAGGGTTATTTGGGTTTTACTGACAATTCCTGCTTGCTTTCTTCCCCTGAGGAATGTGTGGTCCCAGATTTGACTCCCAGCTCTGAGCCAAGTGCAGCAGATTCCTTTGAAGTCCTCCTGAAGGTAACTTGGCTTCCTATAGAAGTAAATCAATTCCAGCATTAGTAAGGCTGGCAGGACTTTGCCACAGAGAATGGCAACGTTACTGCTAAATACAAACCACGTACCCAAGTCACACTTAGCCAGCTAAGCCTGCATTTTTAAGCTCACTTGATGACTTTGAGCAAAGAGAAGGGACTCAAGCACTGCAGGCATCTTTGGCTCATTCTGACCAAAAGGACAGAAGAAAAAGAAGAATGGGTAGTAGTAAAAAACCCTGCATGCCTTTAGGAAGGCAATATTTCATCTGAATGAAATTAAGTGAGGTGAATTTCAATTTGGTATTTGTGGCACTACTGACTTTATTGATGGCAGTCTGCTTTACAGATTGCATTGATTCTTCCCTTTCCCAGAACATGCTTTACTTTCTAATTGGGGTTGTGCACTGTAGCAGAACCAGATTTCAGCTCGCTCTTCATCAGCAGGCACACACATCGCAGGAAGAAAAGAGAAGGCAGAAATTCCCCTTATGCATAGCAAATGCTTTCCTCTGTGCTTGCAAAACCAAAAGTCATTGTCTAGAAACTTGCAGCACAGGATTCTGAGCAAGAATTGTTCCGTATCCAAAAGCCTGCAGAATGACAGGAGCTTTTGCTAAATTCACTGTTTCTGAACGTTGTCAGAAAACAGAATCTGATTTTGCCTCACTGTTTTGCTACAAAGTGAAACCCAGCTATCAAAGTGGTGTTTTAGAGTTGTAAGACAAGCATAGTGAAATGTACTTACCGTGGGTTGATTGATCTGTGTTCTGTTTCTCTTGTATTATTCACATTTCATTGTCTTCTGCTGCTTTTCAGCAGGATTCTTAATGCCCAAGGGAAAAGCTTCTCCTCTCTCCATTTGCAAGAACACAGTTCCCTCCCAGTGAAACCTAATGATCACCTCCAACCTGTTCATCTGGCCTGCAGTTTGGGCACATGCTCAGATCTGAAGTAGACATCAAGTATTTGGAAGTCCCAGTCAAACACAACTCTAAGTACTTTGCTGTACGAAGACAGCTTAGGCATATACAGAAAGCAAACTTTAGCAAAGCCTGGGGTGACTCCATGCTACTGCATTAAAAATAGGAACACTTTTGTTTCAAACATGTCTGTAGCTGCTTCTAACCCAGGGAAAGAACTGTGTTATCTATCATTCATAGAGCTCTTAACCTTTAGGAGCAGCACACGTTGTGCACTATGTATATTTATCCATTAAAAAAGCCTGTAGGTTCATTTTTCCTCTCTGACATGAAAAATGTGGATGGAAGCACTAAAGGCTTAGAGTGTCTCTGTGATTTGCTTGCAAAAGTAAACACGAGCCAATACTGTAACCAGATCACATACTTGCAGTGGAACAAAGTGACTGATTTCATTTTCAGCCACACTGAGAAGAAGCAGAAAGCGCACCAGGAAATAGACTGAGCTTTCTTTAGTGTGGGAATGGAAACACATGTGGGACCAGTGGGCCTGATGGGGAGTTTTGGCCTCATTTTACCTGTCTTGGCCCTTGGGATACGCTAAGAAGAATAGCTCAGAATGAGATCATAAGGATTCTTCAGAAAAGCAATAAAACGGGTTTCTGTTCCTTCCTCATAGAGCAGTTACCACAGAATCAGTGTTACACTGGAGGTGGGCTTGGTCCAGATTTACTTACCCATCTTCTCTTGTGTTTGCAGCAAGGGGTATAGGATTTGGTGGGGTTCCTCTTCCTGTCAGTTCAGCGTTCAGATCCAGCTTTGGCTCAGCTGCCAGGGATGGAGAAAGGCAGTGAGTCAGGAGGCTGCCAAGTCATCCTCCAGCGTATTAGGCCTGAGCTGCAGCTTCAGGCAGATGTAGTGGGCCCTCTCCCTTTCCACACAGGAGGTGCCATTTCAGAATACAGTCCCATTCCCAGAAATGATGCTTAGCATTTTAGCAAAATACATAGTACCTTTGCTCCTGCTGACTGAAGGAGTCACAAGCAGCCTTGAAAGACATCCCTTGCTTAATATGATTAGCAGTAAACACTAATGCTGGGCTTGAAGTCCTGTTTAAGCATGCAAATGACTTAATGCTTCTTCATGGATCTGTGAGCATCACATTGGGCTTTGAGGGGTGGGGGTTTATTTGCAAGGTTGTGGTCAGATTTTACAAACTAATCTCCAATAATTTCCATTAGAAATGACTGTTAGCATCTATTTCTGCTGTGGTAGCAACTGGGCAACCAGAATAGCCTACCACCCCGCTGTTGTACAAATCACTGCATGTACTGTAAGAGCACACCCTCCCTTTAGTTTAGAAAGGGATGTTGCAAGGTCAAAGCGTCCTGCTGTGGTCACGTAAATAAAACCTTTCTATCCTTGGATGCAGTTGTGTCATTTTGGATCCATTTGTGGAACAGGTAATGTGCATCTGGGAAGATGCTTTAAAAGAATTTGAGAGGCTCTTGCCAACCTGAATCATTCATGCCAGTCACAGAGCTTATTGTAGCCTGGGAGAGACTGGGGGGGGGGGATGTAATCTGTTTCTGACTCCTGAAATCTGGCTTGTGGTCATCAGGAGGGTGCTTCGGAAGGAATTTCTTTGATGACAAAGAAAGGCAGGAGCGCAGCATAAAGCCATTTGACAAAGATGACCTCAGGTATCATCTCCCTGCTCCAAGGAGGAGAAGAGAACCCGGTGAATGTTTTCTGGGTGTGGATAGATGCAATGCATAAAGGAAAGTGAGAGACATAGAGCTATCCTGCTCAAGCAGTGTGTGTGCTATGGCCCTGCCAGAAGGGCTGGGGCTCCGGGGCTGTGCAAACGCATGGCAAGAGCCCCTTCCACTCCAAAAGGACTTGAGCCGTTCAAGTGCGGGAAGGGAAAGGACAGCGCTATCAGTCCCACTGCTCTGGCTGAAGTGTGAAGGGCAGAAATGTCCCGTATCCTGGCTGAGGTCATCCAGGCAGCTTTCAGCAGACACGTCCCTTGAGCCCAAACATTTTTGCTTCGAAGTCACAGGAGGTCAAGCTATAAAACATGCTCTTTTCCGCACCAGGAGTTCGTTCCTGCCTTCAAGCACCGTTCTGTGCGTGCACTGCAGAGCATTTAACAGTAAAAGGCAGAAAAATGCAGTAACGATGAGAAATGCAAGCTGCAAGTGGCACTTACCAGCTTGCTCTGTGTAAAGGCAAGCACGGGCACAAGTAAATGGGCTTACAAATCCAGGCTAAGAGAACACACGGATTTAAGGCAGATGGAAGACAAAGTGTTCTTCCTCTTACCAAGCATCAACAACCTAGTAATGAACACCTCGTGCTCCCACAGCCCTCCCACTTGGACGTGCACTGCTGCTGCTTTGCTTCGTTCTCCCTGCATCTCAGAGATAGCACAGAGAAGTCAGGCAGCTTTCCCAAACAGAACCAACGAGCAGCCAAGCTTGGTACAGCAGCCTTTATGGTATGAGTCACACCAGCAAAAAACAAGGTAGGAAAGTCTCATTTAAGTCTCATTTGCTGGGCAGGAGGTGAGACAGGGCCTTCCCCACTGGGAAGGCTCAGATTTGAGCTGTGCTTTGGAAGGTCTGCGAAAGCACTGAGCATTTCATTGCAAGTTCTCTTCTGTGCAAGACTGCAGTGAATTGACTGATGCCAAACCCAAGGAGAGTTCCAGGATGCGTCAGAGATGCAGAAAGGGGAAGTAAGGGCTTCCCCAGCCACCCAGCAGTGTTCTACCAAAGTAAGTTCATTGTTCTGTCGTTATGAAGAAAGTACATAGTGCAATGCATGGGGCAAGTGTGGGAAGTTGTAGTTTCTCTGTGTTGTGACCCATCTACCCTTATATTCTGATCTCCTAAAGCACAGAGGCTTCCCTCTGAAAGAATGAAGTAGTTTGACTGGCTTTAAGTGAATGGAAGGAAAGCTTCCTTATTGCAGTCCCATCAGCTTAAGGCTTGCAAGAAATTCACTGTGTAACTGGGAGATGAAGTGAAAGAAAACCTGGTATTCTTCAGTGAAAACATCAGTTTGTATGCCACATTTAGTCTGGGTACCAAGTCTGACATACGTCAAAGAAGACGCTCTCAGGGCCTGCAGACAGACAGCACCAAGAAACCAGCGCGAGTGCAGATGATTTATTCGCTCTGGTCTGAAGTGGTTTTGCTTCCTTTCTGTTGGCCTTGCAAATAAAAAGGAGGAAACAGGGGTAGATTTTAGCAAAGAGCAATGATGTGTGAGAGCAATGAGGCGCGAACCATGGGCCAGATCCCATGTAAACAGCAACACTAACGTGAGCTGTGAGTGATGGGGGTTCTGTAACTGAAACCATTTTGCTTCGCTGTCTGTGTAAATAACTCGCATTCCTGGTGAGTTGAATCCTGGAATATCCATCCACACGTAGCAAGGAGAGCTGGCACTGATGGTCTGACCCTACCCAGGACCCAATAAAATGCCTCAAGCCCCTGACATGAGAAGATCTCATTCCAGATTTTATGGAGTCCTCCCTTTGGTAGCTTATAGGGATCTCTTCAGTGATGGATTTAATGGAGCCTTCCCCTGCTTACCTCTAGAGCAGATTTATCCTTGCAAGGCAGCACAGGATCAGTGTCTTCATGACACTGACAGGAGGTTGTGCACGAGGAGGTGAAGTGGCACGGCTCAAGCTCCCTTCATCACAACCCAGGATGTGTTAGGAAACAACTCACACACTCACTGGGCAGTACCAGTGCCCAGAGCGAGCACCCCAACTGCGTGCTCCCGGAAAGTGTCTGAGGCACAGGGATGCAGATCACAGTTCCTGAAAGGGTTTTGTCCCGTTGGACTCCAAAGGGAAGGGTGGCTTTTGACAGGGGACACAGATCCGGAAGCCGAAAACCCCGATTCACACGGTGCCTGTCTGCCGGGGACATGAAACTACTTTATCACAGCTTGGATGCTCAATGCAGTCAGAAACCACCACGGAACCGTGTGAATCATGAGGACAAGAGCTCGACCTTCAGGTACCTCCTGTATCTCCAGGTGATTCTGGTGCAGACGCCTCGTGATGCTCAGTAGGTACCCCCCGGCCAGCAGGGACCGGGGCAATGGTGCCCTGGGGAGGGGGAACGTTGTGGAGCAAGAGATGTGGCCCCATCTGCAGCCTGCAGGACGGGCCGGGGGTGATGTCCCCCTTGTCGCTGTCAGAGCCCCCCTTTGCTTAGGGTGCGTGTGCCTGTGTACATGGCAGTTCTTAAAGTGGGGAACTGCTCCTTGGGGCAGTTTTCACTCGTTTTTGTGTGTTTTTTTTCATTGGAAGGGTGAACAAAAAGGGGGACGTGGGGAATGTGGGGGCAGTGATGTCATTTGGGGTTGCCCCAGTGTCACTGGGGGGGGGGGGCGATGATTCGGTGGAGGAGTGGATGAGTAGAGGATGGGGGCTCCTCTGAAGAAAGGGGGGTAACAGCTTGGTTTGGGGCTCATTCCCCCTAAAAAGACCTTCCCATGACGGGCTCTGCTTGTGGGGCCGGAGCCGCTGTGGTGGCCCCAAAATAGTCCAAAACCGCTGATTCTGGGTCTGCAAAGACTTGGGGGGGGGGGGGGGTGTGCTGGGAGGGGGTACCCACACAAAACTGGGTACTGCAGGTGGGGGGGGGGGGGGCGGTGTGGTTGTTCCTGGGTTGCTCGCTGCTGCCATCCTCTGTCCAAGTTGCGGAGCTGCAGGTGGGCGCCGCTGTGTGGCGCCGGGTTCTGCTCTCTGCTGCCATCCCGTGTCCAAAGTCCGGAACTGCAGGTGGGGGAGCGCTGCATAGCGATGTTTTCTGTTCGCTGCTGCCATCCTGCGTCCAAAGCGCGGTACTGCAACCAGGGCTCCACGCGAGCCCTGTTCTATCTCCTGAGTGGCAGAGCCCGGCATGAGGCGCCCACTCCGCGCCGCCGACCTGCAGTACTGCAGTACCGCGGTTGATCCACGGGTCGGCAGCACTGAGCACGGCAAACCGCGCGGCAGCGCCCCAGGGCACCCGAGAGCGGGCACCAGCGAGGCAGGACCGGGTGGAGGTACCGGATGCCCGCAGGAGCAGGGACCGCTGTGCGGGCTGGAAGCTGGGCACAGATGGAGAAGGAAGGGACTGTGATGGCTGCAGGGCGAAGAGGCAGGACCCAAGGGCATGAGCGGCGCGCTGGCAGGGAACGGGCAGCGCAGCGGCAGCGTCCTGCTCCCCCCCAGCCCGACGCTGCTCTTTGCCCGTTGCGAGCGGCAGCGCCCACCGGTAACCGCGTTCCGTGTCCCGTTACGGAGCTGCTCGGGGCGGACCCTCCGTACCCGGGGCACGCATGCGCGCCGGACCCGGTCGCACTCTGTGATGTCACCTCCGGAAGGGCCTCCCTGCGCTGGGTTCCGCCGTCACCCCGGTACCGGTGCCGGTGCCGCCGCCAGCGGCCATGAGCAAGCGGAAGGCGCCGCAGGAGAGCCCCAATGAGGGCATCACCGACTTCCTCACGGGTAGGGGAGCGGGCGGTGGGGCCGTTGTTCCGTCGGTGGGCCTTTGGGGCCGGCGGTGGGGCCGTGGGGCCGTGGGTGGTGCCATGGAGCCGTCGGTGGGGCCGCGGCCCGGCCGCCCTCACCGCCGTTCTCCCCGCAGAGCTGGCCAATTACGAGCGCAACGTGAACCGGGCCATCCACAAGTACAACGCGTACAGGTACCGCCGCCCTCCTCCCCGTGCCGGGGCTCGGCCCGGCCGGTGCGAGCCGGGCCCAGCGGCACCCGGGGCTGACGGGCTCTGTTCCGCAGGAAGGCGGCCTCGGTCATCTCCCGCTACCCCGGCAAGATACAGAGCGGGGCCGAAGCCAAGAAGCTGGTACGTGCCCGGGGGGGGGCTCCCGGCAGCGATCCCGGATGTGCCAACGGCCCGGCCGGGGTCAGGGCTTGGGTCGGGGGCTGCTGCGCATTGGAGCTGCCATAGCCAAAGCCTTGTTCAGAGCTATTGCCCCGGGGGGCTTTCAGTGTAGCCCTTGAACCAACACTGCTCGTGTTGTACCCTTGAAGCCTTGTGTTCCCCATTGGGTCATGGCCTTGGTGGCCTCAGAGTTCTTTCAGGTCTAAATTCCTTTTTTTTGCAGGTATGACGGCTTTAAAGTCCTCGTGGAGTTAACCCGTTTGTCCTCCCCTCTCCCCACGTTTAGGATGGAGTAGGCGCTAAAATAGCTGAGAAGATAGATGAGTTCTTATCCACGGGAAAGCTGCGCAAGCTGGAGAAGGTGGGGTTCCTTCCCCTGTGCTCTGCTTCTCAAGAGCCGCTGTGCTTTGTCATTTGCCAAGTAGAATCATAGAATCGTTTGGGTTGGAAAGGACCTTAGGATCATCCAGTTCCACCCCCCTGCCATGGGCAGGGACACCTCACACTAAACCATCTCACCCAAGGCCTCGTCCAACCTGGCCTTGAACACCACCAGGGATGGAGCATTCACAACCTCCCTGGGCAACCCATTCCAGTGCCTCACCACCCTAACAGGAAAGAATTTCCTCCTTAGATCCAATCTAAACTTCCCCTGTTTCAGTTTGAACCCGTTACCTTTTGTCCTGTCACTGCAGTTCCTAATGAAGGGTCCCTCCCCAGCATCCCTATAGGCCCCCTTCAGACACTGGAAGCTGCTCTGAGGTCTCCAGGCAGCTTCTCTTCTCCAGGCTGAACAGCCCCAGTGTTCTCAGCCTGCATGCTTCGTGCTGTTTCTGTTGTCACTGGGGGGACTGATGTCAAAGCTAAGAGCAGTGGCCGTGGAGTCCATGGTGAGCAGAAAGCAGGGAGCAAGGAGCTCATCCACAACCTCAGAACTGCCTCTTTGTGAAAAGAGTGTCGCTTATGGAGTCAGCATTCGGATGTCTTCCGTGAGGAGTGGAAGTGGGGCGCCAGGAGGCTGTGGAGCAATGCTGCTCCCCTCGGCGTGGGTATACATATGGCATTACTGTGCTACACAGGACTCCCTCTGGTACTGCTTTGCACTGATTCATAGTGAGCCCCCAAAGCAGATCCTGTCTAAGCTGGTTTATCTCCCCAGGGTTTCTTTGCTTGTTGCAAATGGAATAAAGAAGGGTTTGGTTTGTTGTTCTCTTTCTGCAGATTCGACAAGATGACACAAGTGCATCCATCAGTCTCCTGACACGAGTTACTGGCATTGGGTAATGTTGTTTCCCTTCGTTTAGTGGAGCTGTGAACAGCATTTGGCTGGGCTGCTTTGCTCTATTGTGGGTTGCAGACTGAAGCCTTGAGTTTTCTGAAGTGCTGTTCTGAAACCTAATGACACCGTTGTGCTGCTGTTGCCTTAAGTGGGTTCAGAGACTGACTGTGGTTAAAGGAGTTCTTACCGTGCACTCAGCGTTGGTATTTGAAGTACTATTGCCTATCTGGTGAGATCTGTTTAGTTTTCAGGTTGTTATAATTTATTACACATCAACATACATTACTATTATATTTATTATACATTGCTGTATAGTTATACCCGTGCTAAACAATGTGCAGGCCAAGGCCTGGATAAGCCAGCTCAGCTGATCAAAAGTACACACTGCAAGCGTGGGTGCTGATTTTCAGAGGGTGAGGGTCAGAAGCTACTTCAGTCATGGCCTTGAGGAACGTAGGCAGTGACAGTGAACTCTAATGCCCTTTTAAGATCTCTTTGTGTTCCCGATGGCTGATTGTCCTGTCTCTTCGCAGTCCTGCTGCTGCCAGGAAGTTTGTTGAGGAAGGAATTAAGACTTTAGAAGGTAAGTGTGACTCTGGGTCCTCGGTTCACTCTCCAGTGATGGCTTTTTCCCCACCAAAACTGCCCTTTTCACAGTGGTACTGTGATACCAGGTACGCCGTAGTTGTGCAAGATGCACAGACTACAGGCAGTACACGTGTGTGAGATCACAGGGACATCAGCAAGGAGTTTGGCTTTGAGGGGAATGGTTTATTGAACTCTTTATCAGGAGGGGCTCTGTGCATTCGTGCGCATTCTGTCAGCTGTGAGTAGTCAGCTTAAAATCACTTTGTGTTTGAGGTTACCGTCTTCTTGTTACGTGTTCTTTGCATGCACCGTCTTTGCGTTGGTGGAAACTCACTCCAAGAGTTTTATCCTCAAGTAACTTTTTTGGTTTTCTCAATTCTCCTAGATCTCAGGAAAAACGAGCACAAGCTGACCCATCACCAGCGAATTGGGCTGAAGTAAGCTTTCTTGGGTGCAAGTGCTTGCCTTTCCTACTGACTCTTTCAGATGCTACCATGTACTGTAAGGTTACACAGGCCAAATAAGGTTCTGTTCTGCCTGTGTGCTCTACATGCTGTTCAGCAGCTATTCAGAGCTTTTGTTTCCTCAGGGCTGTATTTGACTTGTGAGCTTCCCTTTAGCTCCTCCAACATGGATAGCTCTGGCCATGGGTGAGGGGCCTCACTGCTTGCTGGTGAACTGAGGTTTTGCAAGAACCTGTTGTATTTTCAGAGAGCTCTGTAAATAGGAACCCATTGGTTATACAGTAATGTTACTCTCACCTCATACATACGGTGGGAATAATGTGCAGCGAAACCATCTTCTAAGCACTGCCAAACTTGCAGTTGTGAGTTTTAACTGTTGCTTGGCAGAATGCTTTGTGAGATGTTCCGTCAGAACGGGGAGCTTTTTGTGATGTGGCAGTAATGTAAGTTGTATTCTTTCCTCGGACACACATTTAATTGACTAAAATTTGAAGATGCTGCTCTGGCCACTCTTTTATATTTCTATGTGCAGATACTTTGAAGATTTTGAGAAAAGAATCCCAAGAGAAGAAATGCTGCAAATGCAGGTAAGAAAGTGTTCATGGAGGTTGTGAGGCGCTGATGGCTAATGAATGACACCTCTAAACATCCATCTTTCATTTTCATATAGGAGATTGTGCTGAAAGAGGTAAAGAAGCTGGACCCAAACTATATTGCTACAGTCTGTGGCAGTTTTAGACGAGGTTGGTAGTCTGTGATCTCATGTTTCCTTTGGGCTAATAAGCAAGACTCATTCCTATATATGTTGTTCTTCTAGAAAGGCTTTACCTGGCTTTAGTATTGCCTTGACTGGTTAGTTCAGTGATGAAACACCCACATGAATCATTGCTTCTCCACCCTGCACCCATAAAGAGTAGTGTATTGTAACACATGAATTGTTCCTGTGCTTTTTCGTTAACATTTGTGCTTCATTGCTGTAGAGTACAGCACGAAATTCTTGGGTATTCTCCAAGATTGGTGGGGATGTAAACTTCTTGATGGAAGAATAAGGGTTTTTTTTCCAAATATCTTTAATAGTGACTATTTTCTACCAGAAAAACAAGTTTAAAGGGAGAGGTTAGACAGATGTGCACCAGTGTTAGTACACTTTGTCATACATCGAGGGATCGTTCTTCTCACTTGCCCAGGCGCAGAGTCAAGTGGTGATATGGATGTTCTCCTGACCCACCCGAGTTTCACATCTGAATCATCCAAGCAGGTATGCTGCTTTGCTCCTGGGGGTCAGTAGCGTTACTTCCACAAGAGTATGTCTGAATTCAGAAGGTGGGTAACCTGAGACTTGTATTGCATCCTTTTGTTCCTCTTCTCTTGGAGTTATGATCATTTCTCAGGTCCATGTATGATGTTGTGTTCTTCAAGAACTATTCAGTATGTTTACTCTTAGCCTTCTGTCTCTCCTCTTTGCTTCACAAAAATTCACCCCTCCTTTGAATTCCTGGGCTTTTACAATGTGATTTTACAATGCAATGTGACATGGGGGTTTTGGTGGAGATTCTTCTATATTGCACTACTGTAATTCTGTCAGCTTTCCTTATCATTGTTGTCTTTTTTCCCCTCTGCATCAAATTTCATGTACAGTAATAATTGTAGAGATGTCCCTTACTTAGGTGGGCCATTGTATGGTAAATGGGGAAGATATTCTTGTTATTTGTAGAATAATTTCTTCTTCTGTCTTGTCACTGTTCCTAGTCGAAACTTCTGCATCAAGTTGTGGAACAACTGGAGAAAGTCCACTTTGTGACTGACGTGCTGTCTAAAGGAGACACAAAATTCATGGTAAGGCCTTTTGGGTGGTGAGAGATGGAATGAAAAGTGGCAGAGGATTTGTCAAGAAAAATTTGGTATTCGTTCTGTTAGCTTGAGCTTTGTCTGCCTTTTTCTTAACCTGCTGATGTTTGTGCAGGCTGAAGAGCATGATAATAATTAGGGCAGAAGAATGGGACATGAGAAGTGATCTTTCCTGCTGTAATAAGTAGGAAGCAATTAGACACCACCTTGGACTACAGTCTCTTAGCAGTGTAAAATAGTGCTTCAGGTTACTGTGACATCCAGCTCTTACAGTAAAACACTTCTTCAGTTCCTCGGGAATTTAACTTCACTCTCCAGGATGACTGAGGGTTACTGGGAGGTTAAGGGGTAGGGAGGTGAAAATTGATCTCAAATCTGTTTAACCTGAATTTCTTGCTTTCCTTACTTTCTCACAGGGTGTCTGTCAGCTGCCAAATAAAGAAGATGGAACAGCCTATCCACACAGGAGAATTGATATCCGGTAACACGCCAAAATATCCCCAGATCAGACCCCTGACTTGAGCTGTCTGCTACATAGTAGGCATTTGCATCAGGTTCTGCATTCGGATCTCTACTTTCATGTTCAGAACATGGCATTTACTAGGTTTCTAATTCCTATGTAGTATGAAAGCCACTGTACAACTGCCAGTATCTACAACAGGTTATTAGCAAGAATGCTCTATTTTACCTCCTGACTTTGAGTCCACTTCCAGACTTGTGACCTGCTTTATCACACTGCTTTGACATTAATTCTAGGCAGGAGTGCAAGCTCCAGAACCGTGTAGTAGCTGGACACCAGTAACTTCTGAGTCAGGGTAGATGAGCTGAACCTTTCTTTGAGATGCTTTTAGTTTCATTCTTGTATCTGGCTTGTGGGAAGATCAGATGTATAGAGTTGCAGTATATGTGCACATAAATAGGGAGTAATTCCAGAACAGCGTCCAAATGGCTTATAACTGTTACATATTTGTTCTGAATCTCTACTTTTCTTCCACTTTTATTCTAGGCTTATCCCCAAAGATCAGTATTACTGTGGTGTACTGTACTTCACAGGAAGTGATATATTCAATAAGAACATGAGAGCTCATGCTCTGGAAATGGGCTTCACCATCAATGAGTACACAATCCGTCGCCTGGGTGTCACTGGTCAGTCTTTGCACAGAGTGTTATTTCTAGTTACGTGCTTTGTGGGTTCTTAAATTGGTTTCTTGGTGTACTGGAAATACTTCTGATCACTGCTGGAGTTCATGCAGTTTTTCACTGTGTCCTTTCTGGTGTTAGACATCATTACAGCAGGAGGAGGCAGCTTATGTATGGGCGGTGCTGTAGCCAAAGTTACCCCTTTGGGCCACCTAATCTGCTTAAAGGCTTACTGACCTAAAGATTATTTATTCAGTGTCATGCACAGCACATATGTGGTTTCCCACTCTTTTAACAGGACACAATGTGTCCTTTATTGTTTTGCTTTGGAGGGAGGCTGCCTGTGTACACACATGAGTACTGGTGTATTTAACTGCATAACCACATGGCCACAGAGTTAATTCATTACCTTACTTCCTTTGACACTAATGAGAATCAGTAGCTGAACACTGTGAAAAGGTCTGTGAGGGGTGCTTTGGTTTGGGTTTTTAAGTCTGTTTTACTTACAGCACTTTTGTCTTAATCTTGCAGTGCATTTAGCATTTCAGGATTGTACAGACCTTCCACCTTTCAAATTGTATCTCTAATTTGCTTGCAGGAGTTGCTGGGGAGGCCCTGCCAGTTGAATCTGAAGAAGACATCTTTGACTACATCCAGTGGAAGTACCGAGAGCCAAAGGATCGCAGTGAATAACTGCTTGTTTAGGTTTGTAATGTAGAGAGATGTTTTCATAACAAAACTGCCTCATGTAGGCTTACTGTTTAATCTAGCAGCAGCAGTCCTGCTTCTGAAGACAGACTGCACCTCTCCTGTTGGTTAAACAGCCTTCTGGTTAAGATATTGGCATCTTGAACCGATGTAGGCATCTGCCTGCTCAGAACTGTGTATTGGTCTGCTAGATCTTCCTTCCAAGCTGCTTCTAATTTTCTGTATCTTGTGTGGCAGACACCAGAATGAGAATCCTGAAGTACTCCGAAAGAATACCGTTTCCAGCTACTGTCTGTATCTCCTTATCTCTGCATTACATGTCCTGGTGTGGTGCTGAAGCTCATGTTAAGCTGTTTCCATGTCCGTCCTTCAAAAACCTTTCAGTATGGCCATGTACTGATGCGCCCATTCTTCTGTCACATAGAACCCATATTCATTGTTCCTATGTTGTAGCACTATTGGTTGCAGTGATGTGTGTTTTGTTTGCCATTACCCAGAAGACTGGTCTGAGTAATTGAGGCATTTCTACCACCCATGTAGAGTGGATTTGCCTTCCTTTTTATGCAAACCAGTCAGCTCTGATTTTGATAGCCCCTCTTAAAGCACTGTGAACGGTAGGTAGTGATTATTTTGGATGTGAGAGGGCTCATCAAGATTGCATTACTAGTTGTATGTGGGACTGGGATTCTGTTGGTTAACTTAAAGAACTTAGTATTAAGTAAAACTTAATAAAAGTAAGTTTTAAGTAGCAAACTACTACTTTGATGTATTACAAAGCATCAACATGGAATGTATTGCTGCTATTGTGTTTAAATACCTTGTAGGGATATAAGGCTAATGTATTATAGAATTGGAAGCCTGAAAAGGCAAGACTTTTCTACATGGCCAAACTGAGTATTGCTAATTATATGTAATACTTCTTGATTCTTTAATGATTAGGTCTGCTACCTGCCTTTATATGGAGGCAGAGAGGAGTTTGCATCTGTATGCTCAGACTACATAACCTGACTTGAATCATGAAACAAATACAGATTTAATACCTCTTCTTATTTTTATCTGACTTAAGCCTACGGAACAGCTAAGTTTTTACTTGTTCTTACATAGTTAGTGTTGAACAGTCTTAGTAATGGAGACTACATCCTGATGGTCTTGCTTATCCCTTTATTTTCTTCTGGTTTGCCTATGGGGAATTCAATTATTTTCAGGGAAAAATGCATGCAGTGGTGCGTAAGGTGACCAGCAGGTAACTCGGTATCATGTGAAGTCTTCTGATGCCTCGTGGTGAAAACAGATGTAGCTGATGTATTCAGCAGCTGGTGGGAATAAACAAAATGACAATTCCGTCCATCGTGAATGTGTCATCCTTTTCTTAGCTGTAACTTCAGGAGCAACAAGCAGCAGTAACACGAGCTCACCACGTTTACGCACGTTTCCTGGGCAGCACGCAGCATTCCATTGCCGAGTTCTCCATCATCCCCAACAGCCAGACCGCTTGTGCTTGGGACTTGCGGCAGAATTTGCTGGGCTCTCCCGACCCCCGAATCCTTCCCCGTGGCACGCTCGGCGCGTTCGCTTCTTTATCTTAACGTACAAAGGGTCCCTTTCCCCTCCCCTGCCCGCACCCCCGGGGACCCTTTTCGCTGTGCCTTCCTCTGCCCTCCTCCTCCTCCCACTGCAGCCCTGCGCCTGCAGAGGCCTCTGCCCATCACGGCGGGCAGGGGCTGCGTGCGGACGGGCACATCCCGCAGCTGCTCCGTGCGAGACCGCCCCTGACCCGGCCGTTATCCCTGCGACCGGACGCAGGCCGCAAGGACCGGGCCCCGCGGGTGGAGCGGAGCCGCCGCCGGGCCCCGGGCAGGGCGGGGCCAGCGCGCGGGGCGCATGCGCGGAGCAGGCGGGCTCGGGGGCGCCGGGAGCGGTGCTGGAGGCAGCGCGGTGGCAGGTACCGGCGGGGCCCGGCCCGGCCCGGCCCGGCCCGGCCTGGCCTGGGGCGGGCGTCCCGAGGGTCACCTTGCGCGGCGGGGATGGGCCGGGCCGGAGCCCCGGAAGGGACGGGGGGAGGCGGGGTCCCCGGCGGGAGCTTCCGCGTCCTCGGGTGCGGCGGCGCTCGCTCCGCGGTGCCGGGCTCCGCGGGTTCGTGGGCTGGGCCGGGGGGGAGCCCGGCGGGCCGCGCTCCGTTACCCGTTGCGTAACGCGCGTCTGTGGCGGCCGGGGCGGAGGCCGCCCCGCTCGGGAGCGCGCCCGCGTGCGCGGTGCGGTGGGTCCGGGGACTCACGGTGGGTCCGTAGGCCGCGGGGGGGGGGTGGTCTCGTGTTGGCCTCTTCACGGCAGTGCCCCCTCCGGTGTCAGCTCCGAGCGGGTCGGGTCATTGCGCGCCGCATCCGGACGTGGCAGCGTTAAGCATCGCTTGCTCCCAGCCGTTCGCTCCTTGATGTAATTTGTCCCGTGGGTGCTCTGGAAGGGAGAAGCAAAGCACAGGATTAAGGAGCCTTTGTTTAAAACCAGTGAGTGCCGCGGCTTAGCCGTTGACAAAACTGTTGCTTTTCCCACATTTGTTGTGTTTTGTTTCCGCTGTTACCGCATCTGATTGATGGAGACCTGTTCAAATTTAGGGTTAGTAGTGGTGGAACTGTGAGCTCAGTTACTCTAAATTCAGGCTTGCGGGTAGAGCTGTTGGTATTACTTTAACAGTTAGTCTTTTCGGTAACAAATGAGGGATTTCTGGCGTCAGGTGTTGCAGAGAATAGCAATAAATGCATCAGCTGTAAGAAAAGAATTACCTCTAAAATCAATCAGTCAAAAGCACCATCTTTGGCTGCTTTTTTTCCCTTTGTTTTTGTGGACCGGGTGTGCCTTTACATTTATACAAACTTATTCCAGAAAGGGAAGACCAGTTTTCCACTGGGGAAGAGTTTCCGTACTCAAATGTGGATTTTCTAATGCAAAATGTGGTAACGAACATTAAATATGTCACATAAGCTGTAATACCACATTATGTCCATGACATTATGCCCATCCTTTCGAGTTTTGCCCTCCAAAGTTGTAACAGTTACGTGTATTAGAAGATGCAGTGTTTGCTGCTGTGTGAAGACATTGCAGAAATACTCACTGGTGGCTACTGGACAGTGTACAGAGATGTCCCTTTATGTATTACACATCTCTGAAAGAGCTTCTGAAGAAGTCACAAGTGCTCAGGGAAGTCTTTCCCTTTGTGATTGTTCAGTGCTTATGTGGCTTCACCCCTTGGGTTCCCTTTCAGAAAGGGTCCTGCCACAAAAGCAGCGTTTGCTCATCATCAGAACAGGACTAAGGCTCCCGTGAGCTCTTTTTGCAATGTAAGAATGTGTAGTTGGATGTAATACTGTTCCTGGGGTTAAGTGATTCCAGACGATGGATTTGCTTTCATAACTTCTTTGAACTGAAGTTTGTTTCTGATGCAGGGGTGACTTTCATGAACATCCCTCAAAGGTCATGCAGCGGGTACTGGTCAAAGACATTTCTAAATGCTTTGGATGTAGTTTAGATTTTATGCTGTTAAACCTAAGATTCTTACAGCTTCCAGTGTGTTTCAGATCCAATGGCTGTCCCACCAGCATACAGTGACTTGGGAAAGTCTGCCAGGGATGTATTCAACAAGGGGTATGGTAAGTAACATGGCTGCAGTGGGAATTCAGCAGAGGCCTGGAGCATCCAGCCCCTTCTGATTTGAACTTTAGAGGTGTATCATGGCGGTGCTGCAGCAGGGAGAGAGTTAGAGGGGAAGGTTACGAGTGTGACCTGAAGATGCACTCCAGAACAGTCTCCGAAGAATGCTGCAGATTTTTACCTTCTAGTTTTTGTACTTGGAGACATTAAATCAGTTCAGTGCATGTAGGTCAGCACAGGAGACCATATGTGCCACCAGACAGGTTTGAAGTAGAGCGTTAATCAGAGCAGCCTGTTGTCTTAGCGACAGTGGAAATAATTGCACCATATTTGCATTCCTCCTCAAAGAATTTAAATGGAGAAATTCTGATATTAGTCCCTTCTCTGGGAGCGATATGTTGATGTTTTTATCTGTACTCTTCTATTTCCAGGATTTGGAATGGTCAAGTTAGAGTTCAAGACCAAGTCTTCCAGTGGGGTGGTAAGTACTGGAGGCTTCCAACGTCACCAGCACTCCCTTTAAAACCTGTAGCTGACAGTCGTGGAACTGATGGAGTGGTACTTCTCCTACAGCATGCTTTTTGTTGTGAGCAGGTTGCTTTCTTCCCCGTTCCCATTGCCACATCCCAAACATGGAGTTTCTTCACCCTCAATAGCTCTCATTTCTGCTTCTGAATGCAGTTGAGTTTCTCTGCAGATGTTGGTTTTTAAAGGATTTTGAGTCCAGACTGACCTTTTATCCAAAAGGCAAAGGGATAAATAAGAGCCATGGTTTAACTGAATTTTCGCTCATCTCCACTGTGCTTATAATACAAGACTTAATTAAAACTAAGTAGTTCTTCTGCTCTACCCTTTGTGTAGACTTTGAGAGCATTTTGTAGACATTAATGAAGATTTAGCACTTAAGGTAACTAGAAAATACTATGAACCCCACTTTAATGGTGGAGAAGTGGAGCTTCCTCAAGATTTCACAGGAGGGCTGGCAAACTAAGTCTTATTTTCTTAATTTTGGTCTTCGTATATTGTTTACTAGATAAGGTTATTCTTACCCTGAGTTTCAGATCTGTGTGTGCTCCCACTTGATGCTGTTCTGGTTGATAAGCTGTACTGCTTTTCAGCCTACTTCATAAGCTCCCTCCTTCTCTTGCATTCTTATCATGAAATGGTGCAAGTCATTCCTTTTGTATTACTGTATTCTGTCTCAGTTGAGCTTTTGATGGATTGCTTGCACCAGGAACGTGTAGGCACAAGGAACTCTGTACTGTGACTGCTGCCAGTTACTGACATGTCACAATATTCGTAGTTTTCCTGGCTGGAAGTTTTTATTCTCAAATAATATGCTAATGGTTAATTCTGCTGTCTTCTGAATGTGATGGAACATGAACGACTGTATTAACTTCTAAAAATGGGCTTTTTCTTTTCCATGCAACCTTCCTGTTGGATGTTTATCCAGCTGGTAAGAATAGTGACTGTTTTGGCATGTTGGTTCTTTATTGCTTTGTCTAGCAAGGTTTTCTGTGGTGCATGTTGTTGTTCATAAACTGTTCCATTGTTTTTTAGTCCTGTTACCGTCCGTGTCATTAAGTTTGACTGTGTCGATAGCTGTTAATCTGCTCTATGATCCATGTATGTAAAGCGATTTAGAGTCTTTGTCCAGTACTCCACAATAAGAACACTGTAAAAAAACAGCAGGAGGGAAAACAAGATAGAGAAGAGGACTGATACTATTGCTGTTGCTTCAGATTTTGTGCTTGTTAGAGTTTCTAGTGATCACTCTGCTGCAACAAAATGGGATTTGGGGGATGGAGGTGAGGCTAGGAACAAAACAAGAGATCTGATTTCTGTTTGGGTACTAATATTGGCTCTGATTGTTACGATACAGAAATATTTTGTGTGTTTTTCCTGTGGACTTGGAACATAACAGAGGTAGTGTCTGTTGGTTGTAACTGTTTCATAGATTGCGAGTGGTTTGGCGTAGTAAGTGCGTGGTGTTCCTGAGGACGCCAGCCAACATATCCTAGAAGGTTATAGACTCATGGCAGCAGATGATGACTGCGTGCCTCCTGCTTCCAGGAGCGGATCTGGTTCTGACACTTGGCCAACAGCATAGAACTGCGTGTTACAAAATACATATTATACAAAATTCAAAGTTACTGGTTCAGTTGGACTAGTCAGTGAAGGACCAGCCTGATGGAGAGCTGCCAGGGTGTCCCTGGATCAGCTAACACCATGAAGGAGAAAAGGTCTACAGTATTAAGGTCCTTTACAAAGGGGTGAAGCTTCTGAAGTGTTGTTGCTGACTGAGGTAATGAGAGAGAAGTTGGGTTGGGGGCAAAGGTACTAAAGGCATTAATGTGCTCTGTGAAGAGCCTAAGTGACAACAGTATAAAGGGTAGGGGAAACAACAACGTTAGGGTTTAGTAGTGAAAAGCATCAATCACAGTTCTCCAGAAAACTGCTGAATGGTGGAAAAAGGAAGAAATACAGGAGATACTTGGAAAAATGAGAGAAACCCCAAATTTGCTTTGCTGTTCAGCTGGCAGTCTAAGTTGGATGCAGGATTGCGCTTCTTAAGGAGAGTGCATTCCCAGAAGGACTAGAAAAGGTGCTAATTCATGCACCACTGGGACAGTGCTTGAGAAGATGATAAAGGAAATTT